TAAACACAGACAGCCCTTGGGGGGGTAGGGGGGGGCCTGGGGTCCCTGCTAGTTCTGCTGCCTTAGAAGCCATCTCTGCTGTCAGAGTTTGGAGGCTCCTGGAAGGTTCTCTAGGCTCAGGACCCCAGCTTTAAGGCCTTCAGTGACAAGGCCTTCTTACTGCACCTCTTCCTCTGGCCAAGGTGAGATGGAATTAGGTGGAGCAGTGAGGCATGGCAGAGCAGATGGGACTGGGTGAGGCGGGCAGAGGTGGGTGTGGGGTCTTAGTGGGACAGGATTTTGTAGAAAAGGCTAGGTAGAAGCACAATGGGGGGGTGGCTTGGTCTCGATGGGTATCCAGACCCTTACCCTGTTTCTGAGTATAAAAGCCCCTGGTCGATCGTCTTTACTGGAGGAAGAGGGGAAGCCCCCCAAATGCCTTTAGTGGTGTGTCTGAGGCAACCAGGCCTTTCTTATGGGTGGGGAAGGGGGGAGAGGGGGAATCACCTCTAAAGGCGAATACCAGAGTCCAGTTTCTGAGGAGGGGGCTGCAGGGAGGTCCATATGGGGTTGAGGGCGACAGGCAGGGTGTCCACCCTGGGAGCTTTGAGTCTTGAGGGGCTTATTTCCCAGGATGTCGGGGAGCCTCCATTTTCCACGGGGAGAGCACACGGTTACCTACGTGCTGCGAAGACCCCATCATTCAGGAGGGTGGGTGGAGAGAACCCAAACTTAGTTTTTAGGGAAGGGGAAGGGGACATGGGTCTCCAAAGAGATGAGAGGGCCCTAGGTACCTGGGGGAGCTAAAGCCCAATTTGAGGGGCTCATTTCATCCCAAGGGGTAAATTAGGGAGGGGGCCTTCTCTGTAGAGCCTGGGGTCAAGAGGAGGACCCATTTCTGAAGGAAGAGGGAAGCTATTTGCTCTCTAGAAGGTGGGAGACCTTCTCTTTTCGGGGGAGGGGACCCCACGTCTCGGGGGGATGAGGGCGGTGTTTTCTGAGAGGAGAAGTCGGGGTTTGCTCCCTGGGGGCAGGGCCGAAGGGCTCCAGCTCGACTCCGTGCAGAAGGGCCCGACCCACGCGACCCAGCGCCTCGCTCTTACCTCCAGGCCCGGGCTCCGACGTGCGGGCTCCACCTCCGGGACCCCGACTGGCGGGATCTGCGCCCTGCGCTCGGGCTGCGCCGGGTCTCTGCCCGCTTCCCCCAGCGACTCGCGGGGCTCCCTGGCTCCGCCCAGCCGCGCGGGCCAATCAGCGCCTCTTCCCCCTGCCCTCGCTCTCAACGCAGCCAATGAGCGTGCCCGCCACGGGCCACCGCCCCCGGGGGGTGAGGGAGGCGGGGCGGGGGTAGAGTCCGATCTTCTTGGGAGCCTGAGCGGGGGTCCTGGAGGAAGGACCCCGAGGGCCGCGTGCGAGGATTGGAGCGGCGCAATAGCAGCCGAGGACCCCCATCGAGTCGGCGGGGAGCCTACCTGATGGGGGGGTGAGCGCCGGTCTTTAAAAGGGGGGCGACTCTGCCGGCCGGCGTGGCTCAGCAGTGGAGCAGCGACCTGGGATCCAGGATGTCCGGGTTCGATTCCCGGTGCGGACACATGACCGGGTTGCGGGCGCCGGGTTNTAGACCTAGGATCCAGGAGATGGAGGTTCGATTCCCGGTCGGGGCACATGCCCAGGTTGCGGGCTCCATCCCCAATGACTCTCTCATCACTGATGTTTCTGTCTGTGTCTCTCCCTCTCCTTTCCTCTCTCTGAAATCAATAAAGATATATTTTTAAAAAGGGGGGGGGGCGGTTCTATGGGTTGATTTAACCTCCATCTTAATTACTCCTGCACCTTTTCTGGACCCTTGGGACTCTGGGTGAGTGTAGCTGCCCCAGCTGCACCCAGCGCCCCAGAACCCAGGCTCTGGAACCCTGGAGTCAGAGTCAGATACAGTTTCTATGTAAAGGAGGGGAAAGAGCATCGTGCCTTGCCCCGTGACCCCCCACCCCCACCGCCCAATGCGGGGGGCTCATGGCTCTCTCGCTCAGCTCATCCCTCTGAGCTACCATTCACTTACCACCTCCTGACCCACCAGCTCCAGAAGGCAATAGCTTGTGCATTGTGAGTACAGTGCAAAGAGCACTGAACTAGGAGTCCATGGTTCCATCTGCAAGATCTAGGGCAGGTCACTCCACCTCCCTGATTCTCAATTCCCTAAATAGTAGGTAAATGGAGATAACAGTGATAGTACCTCCTTCACAGGCCTAAATGAGATCGGAGATGTGGTGAAGGTGCTTTAATAAAAATTAAAATGCTATATGAGAACTAGTTAATTCTAAAGTGTGAATGACTGATAGCCCCTTAGCTTTCTAAAGATATCTGGAAAAATGACAAGGCCATTCAGTGGTAAAATCAAAGATACAAGAAACTGCCCATTAGAACAACATGAGATCACCAAATGCTCATAATAAATGGTTGGTCCAATGGAGATTCCAGACCTTAAAAGGCTGAGAAAGAATCCTGCTTGATTTTCCCCACTCACCCTCATCAGGTAACTATAGGATGTCCTCCCAAAAATGTATACACACTTTACAGCTGATAGCTCAATTGATGTTTCTTTCTTTTCAGATTTAACCCATTGGAATTTTGGGGATACCCTGTATTTAGTCTTCTGGGATCTTGCAAAACCCTGTGGTCCCTCCTTCCTGCCTTCCTCAAATCCAGGTTGCCTTATCTTTGATTAGAAAGGGGAACTGTAGTCCTAGGAATTAAAAATTTAAGATAAATACAATACAAACAAATAAATAGAAACTTTCAACTAGTGTGATCTATGACTGCAGGGACCAAACAGAAACAATAAATAAGAATAAATAATTCAAAGGAAGAGACAGAAAATATAATTGATCCACAGTTCTGCTGAGACTGAGAGCTTTGACAGTCTCTTTGGTATTTTAATCTTGTCATCTTGCTTGCAGAACTTTATGAGTCCAGGGTTATAAATGCAGCAATTTTTTGTTAATACCTAAGCTATGGAGACAATCCCCTTTATTGCCCAAGACCCACCCAAAGAAATCAAATGATCAGTGAACATGGGAGGAAATAAAGTTATTAAAGTAAAAGTGATAAAAAAAAGTGATCTACCAAAATGATCTCATTTTTATAATTATCATTATTTGTGGACGTTTTAAAGAAGTGGACAATTTCATGAATTGCTGTGGGAGGGCAAATGATCAAAGCTTTTCTGGAGGGAAACTAGGTATTCTATTTTTAAAACCTTAAAAATGAGCTTACCCTTTGACCTAGCAATTAAACCTCTATGAATTTACTCTAAAACAACGAATAGTGCAAAAGTTTAGTAATAAAGTGGTTTACTGTCATTTTGTTTATCATAACAAAAAACTAGAGACAACTTAAATGTACAACAACAGGGACTTTGAAGGGACATCTGGTGCATGAGACATACTGCCTCCAATAAAACATAGGTATGGAAATGCCATCTCAAAATATTAAGTGAACAAAGATATCCACCAAAAAAGTTTATTTGGTGTTGTCCCATTTTTGTTAAATCTATAAAAATATAGATAGATCAGTGCTGCTCAATAGAACTTTCTGTGATGGCGGAAATGTTCTGTATCTGTGTTGTCCAGTATGGTAGCCACCAGCCATTTGTAGATGTCAANTGGTGTTGTCCCATTTTTTTAAATCTATATAAATATAGATAGATCAGTGCTGCTCAATAGAACTTTCTGTGATGGCGGAAATGTTCTGTATCTGTGCTGTCCAATATGGTAGCCACAGCCATTTGTAGATGTCAGNAAAAATATAGATAGATCAGTGCTGCTCAATAGAACTTTCTGTGATGGCGGAAATGTTCTGTATCTGTGTTGTCCAGTATGGTAGCCACCAGCCATTTGTAGATGTCAAACACTTGTCATGTCACTAGTTGACTGAGAAACTGAACTTAAATGTTACTGAGTTTTAGTTTTAAGTTAAATAGTCACATGTGGCTTGTGGTTTTCACATTGGATGGTACTGATATAGACAGATAGACAGATAGAACAACAGACAGATAGATTGAGAAAAATAACTATTAGTAGAAGTAGTTTTCTCTGTATGCTGAAATCATGGATGATTCTAATTTTACTTTATTTACATGCCACCAACTTCTAATTATTTTATAATAAATACATATTGCCCTCGTACTAAAAAATATATTTAAAATGAAAAACGAAAAACAACCCAATTAAAAATAGGCAGACGGCCTGAATAGACACTTCTCCAAAGATGCCATACAGATGGCCAAGAGACAAATGAAAAGATGTTCAATGTCATTAATCATCAGGAAAATGGAAATTAAAATCAGTATGAGATACACCTCACACCTGTCAGAGTGGCAGCCATCAACACATCAACAAAAGACAAGTGTCTGCGAGGGTGTGGAGAAACAGGAACCCTCGGGCACTGCTGGTGGGATTACAAATTGGTGCAGCCACTATAGAAAACAGTCTGGAGGGTCCTCAAAAAATTAAAATTACCTTTTCCCCCAGTGCTGGGAAGGTGCTTAGCCCTTCTGAGGAAGCTAAGGCCACGTGGAAGTGTGGCCCTGCTCCCGACAGCACTCACCCAGCTCTGGCCCACACCACGGTCTCCATCTCCAAGCCCACCTGCACTTACCCGGCCCTTATTCTGCCCGACAATGAGGTGATGGTGACGACAGTGACGGAGGACAAGCTCAATGTCCTCGTTAAAGCAGCCGGTGTAAAAGTTGAACCTTTCTGGCCAGGCTTGTTTGCAAAGACTCTGGCCAACGTCAACATTGGGAGCCGCATCTGGAATGTAGTTTGACGATGACATGGGCTTTCTGACTAAATCTCTTTTGTAACACATTCAATAAAAAGTTGAACTCTGAAAAAAAAAATTAAAAATAGAACAGCAATTCCGCTTCTGGGTATTTATCTGAAGAAATGCAAAACACCAATTTGGAAAGATAAATGCATCCATCCCTAGGTTCATTGCAGCACTACTAGTAATAGGCAAGATATGGAAGCAAACTAGATGGCCATCAACAGAGAAATGGCTAAGAAAGGTGTGGTGTGTGTATATATATAATTCAGCCATAAAAAAAGAAATCTTGCCATTTGCAACAACATGGATGGACCTAGAGGATATTATGCTAAATGAAATAAGTCAGACAGAGAAAGACAAGTACTCTATGATTTCACTTATATGTGGAATCGGGAAACACAAAATAAATAAATAAACAAAACAGAAACAGACCCACACACATAGGGAATAAGCTGATGGTTGCCAAAGGGGAGGGGGGTGGGGAATGAGAATAAAAAATAAAATAAAATAAAATGGAAAACGAAAAAGCAAAAGTCTAAACCAAATAAATCCTACCTTCTGTTTTGTATGACCTGCAAGCTATGATATAAAATGGGTTTTACATTTTAAATGGTAGAAAAAAAATCAAAAGAAGAATATTTTGTATCACATGAAAATTATATAAAGTTCAAATTCCAGTGTGCATAAGTAAAGTTTATTTTGGAACACAGCCATACCCACTCACTTATGCACTGTCTATTGCTGTCTTTGTGCTACAATGGCAGGGCTGACTAGCTGAGACAGAGACTGTATAGCTTGCAAAGCCAAAAATATTTGCCATCTGACCTTTTTAGAAAAGGTTCGCCAAGCCTTGGTCTAAGGCAATCAGGGGAAACAAAATGTGTGGAGTCCCCATTCGTCTGTTCATTCATTCTTTCAACTATGTATTGGGCCCCCATGGTGGGTGAGGACCTGGCCCTGGGCATTTGGGAGTAGCTGCACTGTTTCTGGTTAAGTAGAGGTGTGAGAGGGATATTAAAAACCAGGTGCTTTGCAAGCTGATTCTCAAATAGCTTCATTGTGACACTTGTAAAGAAAACTGTCAAAGGGTGGAAAAAGCCCTTCTCACATTAGCTTTGCTTGCATTTTCCACAGTTCCACAGTTATTCTATGGGGCTGCTCTGGGCGGCAGTTATCTTCCAAGTTGTCTGAGAATGTTTTCCAGAGGCTGGCTGAAGTCCAGAATGGGAGCTCCTCCCAAAAGAGCAGCTCTGTTTGGAAGGGTTCCCACTGCACCTCCCGAGAGGAGAAATGAGGGCAATGGAATGTGAGGTTCTCAGGGCGCCAGCAGTG